TGTTCAGTGATAGGACAAGGGGCAATGGGTGTAAACTGCAGCATAGGAGGTTCCATGTGAACATCAGGAAAAACTTCTTTACTGTGAGAGTGACAGAGCACTGGAACAGGTTGCCCAGGGGGGTTGTGGAGTCTCCCGCGTTGGAGATATTCAAGGCCCGCCTGGACAAGTTCCTGTGTGATGTCCTCTAGGTTACCCTGCTCTTGCAGGGGGGTTGGACTAGATGATCTCTTGAGGTCCCTTCCAACCCTTGGGATTCTGTGATTCATCTTAAAGTATGGAATTTGAAGGCAGAAGTCATTACCGAGTCATTTTAAACCACTGGAGCAGAAGCTATGGGTAACACCCTGATGAAATTAGAACATGCGTGCCTGCATAATTTCTCCTGTGAAATGAAGAGTGAAGAAGAGCCAGAGGAGAGTGTAAGCATAGCACAGTTCCAGAATGACAAAAGCAGGAAATTTTTCAATTAAAACTTACTGCTTTAGTTAGTGTAATACTGCATAGTGGCATGCAAAGGTAACACTTCACTACTAGCCTGTGATTAAGCAAAAGCAGTCAGTATTATCTTTGGCTGGCTGCTGTGATTAGCAGGACTCTGCTCTGCTGCTCAGCTGCTTGGGGCAGGCAGGGAAGGTTTGTGGCATGGATCCTAGTGCAGAGGAGTGAAACTTGTATCATTTTGAATTACATTTCATAAAGCGATGTACCTCCCAGTATCACTCTTGGTTCCAGTTCTGGACTTGTAACAGTAGCAAGTTGTGCTGTTTTATGTGTCAGGTAACTGACAATTGTATGTGCTTGTCCACATATCTGTCTGTGTGCTGTGCATATAAAACAGAAATAACATTTTGTTTGTATGTGATTATTTTTTGATTTCTTGTGGTGCAGTAAGATCCATACTCCAGAATAACAATTCGGTATAGGTAAACTCACTTGAGAATCCTAAGTTGCACATTTAGAGCTCACAAGTTGTGTCAGACCTATCTTCCTTGTGGTGCTATTTGGTGATGTTACGGTGGGAAGTTCTTCTGATTACAGCTTTTGCAGCCATAATTTATTTTGTAATGAGGCATCACTATCTCTGTCAGGTAAACATAACAGACACTGTAATCTACTAACTTTAGTGGCCTCTGTATAATCCTGTTCTGTCTGTGAAATTCTGATGGAATCATCTAGGCTTGAAAACAGGGTGTAATGCAGTTAATACTTTGTTTTAAAACATACTCAAGAAGTGTAAGAGACTAATTTTTCTTTTCCTCATGTGTTAAAATTTCCCGAAGTACAAAGCAAAGACCCACTTGTACTGCTATTTCCTGTAATAAACACAGTAAACTAATGCTCTTACGTATTGCAGAGAGCTATCTCCATGCATCCTAAGTAGGTCTTGAGTGTTGGTATGCTTCAGTATACTACTATATAGTGTATGCACTGTATTCAGTATATACTATATGCTATTCAGTATATGCACTATAAAGACAAATAAAATATCTCTCCATAGTGAAATTTGGTTTATTACAGTGTAATTTTCTTTCTAAAATCAAGTCTTCTTTTAAGGACTTTTATCTAAAATAACATATTAATGTAATGGCATTAAATAATAAAAGACTGTTATGATGCCAAAAATAATTCCTCATTCTCTTTGATCTTCATTTTGGCTAAAGGTATAAAATTCCACTAGAGGCTTTTGTAAACAGACTCCATTAATCCAAACAATTTATTTATTTTTATTTTCTTTTAAGAGCAACTGTAATAGAATAAGACAGTGAATGTCCTCAAGTTTTAATTTTCAGTACAGCTGGAGTTAACTTCATGTTAATTGGAGTCATGCCTCTGAGTCCTGTTGTACTGCTCTGGGCTCTGCATGTGGCTACTTCTGTTTGTCTTGGCTTTAATTAATCATTCCCTTATTTCTTTTCAGCAGCCATTATTGGGCAGGGAGATACAGTTCCAGGCACAGTGCTGAGTCTTCATGGCTTCTGCCTGCTTTCTGCATGCTGTGGTCTGTGCAGCACAGGCAGTCCTAGCAGCAGATGAAACACAGATATGTCTGTAGTATTTCCAGCTGGTGTGCTGATGGGAACTTTTCCTAGTAGTCTTTAAGCCTTTTTTCTGTAATTGAAAAAGTGCAAAGTTCATTTTTTCTACATCTGCATTGTTTAATAATGCTCATTGCATGTGTAATGTTTTTGTGGTTTTCCATGCTGCTTAACTTTTTGTTTTGCCATAAGGTTTTACATATGACTAACTGAGAATAAGAAGGAACCCCTTTAAAGAGATGCAGAAACATGTTATTTACGTTTAGAAAAAGAAATCCATCTGGTTCTGACAACACATAACTATTTTGTGTGCTTCTAAAGAATACACCAATTGATGTAATTATCTCGATTAAGAGTGTCAGTAGAGCTAATAAAGAGAAGTGCCCTGAGAACTGCAGCGTCTGTATGGCTTGACATTTGTGCACTTTGGGGACCTCATTGCTGATTGACTTGTTCTTTCACAGTTCCCTTATGGGACAGGGGAACATTAACTCCTGTAAAGCAGAAGCCCAGGAGCAGCTGGGCCTGCTAACAATGGGCAGTATGGATTTGTGCTGTGCCATAAATGAACTTCTCCTCAGGGATAGTCCCGTCCATATCATCCCAGCACGTTTTGTGTTGTTAAGTGCCCTCACACAATGTGGTGCCACTCCACATGGCATGCAGTGCATGTGTGCACTCAGTCTTATGTTACTAAAACGTTGCTCTGGGGTAAAGCTTGTGCCTTGTGGATGTTACCAGTCTGTTCCAGCTAGGCCAGAGGAGCAGATGCAGAAATGGGGCTTGATCAAATCGCCATGATGTAGCCCACAAATCAAGTGAAGAGTTTGCTATGCATGATAGGAAGCCAAGGTCTTCCTCTAAGCTGGTTCACCAAATTACAGTTGAAAAATAATTTGTTTTCTAGAGTTTGTTTTTTTACTTGTTTTCCTTTTTGCTCCTGTTTTTGAATGCTACCTTAATGGTCAAGCACATGGGGACTAAATTAGCAATTCTGTGTGTGTGATTGGCAGTGGGGACAGAGAGGGAACATAGTTGTTGGAGTACGTGCTTTGTCATGTACTTCTTTATTCAGCTCTTGCAAGGGGAGGATAGCTGTAAGCAGGTTTAAGTGCCAACAAATTGAATAGCAGTGAAGAATAGAAGAACAGGAGAAGGCTGAAAAGCCAAAGGCAGAGGAGTCAGTGCCCCTGGAAGGGATGGCAGTGGTAGTTTGGAATGTGCACATTAACCCCAGGTTGTAAGCTTCCAGGAGAAAAACAAGAAAGCAGCTGTAGGAGGAGGTGAGAAATTTCCTAGCAATGTCAAAGTAAATGCTGAAAACAGCATTCACTGGTATGAATATTGCAGCTGTGTTCAGAACACCTTTGTGGTACCTGAGGTGATGTGTGTGAACAGGGCATGGTGCTAGTGTGGCAGTAAGGGGGGAGATGGGAGATGACACCTTGCATTTTTGCAGGTGATCTTCTGGGGGGGTTGGTGTTTGTTTTGTTTAAGTTTTTACTTTAAGTGTTTGTAAGGCTCCTTCTGTAGGTGTCAGAGGAAGAGAAGTTTCTCCAGAGGTTGATTAAGCTGTCTGAATTGGATATCTGTTTGGATTACCCTTTGGAGGAACTCTCAGTTTTTCTGTATGTGTTAGCTATAGAGAGCTGTGGTGATGGCCACCACCAGTTGCTAGGCTCTTATGATTATTCCCCTAACCACGTGTGGGGAAAATTCCCATAAATGCTCAGTGAAAAGTAAGGTAAGTATCTTATTTCTTTGTCTCTGAAAGAAGCTTGTGTTGTTCATAACGCTGTAGTATTGAATAATATAATGCAGATGGTTTGAGTTCTGTCCCTACGCTGACACTTAAATACAACTTTCAGATATTTTAATATTTTGTTGCCACCTATATTCAACTTCCAGTTATTAACATTCGATTTATTGAAGTGTGTATGCAGTGGGGAAGTATTAGATTCCCCATCTCATCTGCTCTTAATAAATTGCTCTCTTCTGATGGTCCCTCAGAACTTTAAGAGGAGATGCAGTTGTACTTGGTAACTAGAAACAGTACATTTTTTTAAAATAGCTATTACTGTAATTCAGGAAACAGATTAGTTACTCTGTGGCTGATATTAAAGGGTTGTGTCTGTTTTTCTAAATACATTGTTAGTCAAGATGATGTGTTTATGATATTATGGAAGCACAGAAATTTGTAGCATTGTATGAAGGCATGTTTCAGCTCTAATCATAGGTACTCTAAACGCAACTTATTGACTGACATGTTATATGGTAAACTGTCAAATATATGGGTTAACTGTCTGTCAATCACTTACTCTTCTGAGCCACCACTGCTGTATGTGTACTACTTATTTTCTTGTTATGGGGGGAGAGTGCATAGTTTGTGTCTTTAAGGAGTAAAAGAAGCATTTTTTTTCTAGCTCTGGTACTGGCACAATTGCTATCAAGTTTTTAAAAGCTTTTTACTGAACACAGAGTGATGTCTGAAACTCCCTTGCTGGTGCCAAGGGCTGACTAGGAAGCATTGGCTGAAAACCTCCTGTTTACATTTTTGCAGAGCTTGTACTCAGAGCTTACAGCCGCATTCAGACTTGAAGACTGAACCATTTCTCTGTTACACTGGCAGTAAAATACAGAGTGTGATTTTCAGTGTGAATTGAAGGTGCTTGGATTTAGATTTGCTTCCACACTTTTAGCAAGTGCAGTGCAATGTTGACCTATGGCACAGGAAGCTAACAGGAAATTAAACATTGCCAAGTGTTGTGAACCTGGTTTCTTTTTTAGTTGCATGCTACTCTTGAACTGCCCCATAATTAGATCGGTAACTAGGAGCTCAAAAAGCATGTTTGATTAGAGTAGTTGCTGTTTCAGTCTCTTGTGTTTGTTTTTTTTTTTCCCCCATGACTCTCTGGTGGTTTTTTTTGTTTGTTTTTTTTTTTTTTCTTCCCTCTTTCTTAGTCTTCATGAAGAAATCATTGACTTTTATAAGTATATGTCTCCCAGACCTGAAGAAGAGAGAATGCGGATGGAAGTGGTGAACAGGATAGAAAACGTTATAAAAGAGCTCTGGCCTAATGCAGATGTGAGTAGGACACTGTTCTGTTTTTTTTAATATATGAAAGCAACATTTTCTGCCTGTTTGCTTTGTGAAGTATTGAATAATGAAAATACTGTTTGTTTTTCCATATTAAAAAAGCATAAATCAAAACACCAACAAAAGGATTTCTGGTCAAATGAGAGAGATGATCTTTCTTCCTAGAATAATACAGGTCAACATTTTCTGTCACACATAGGAACAAAGACAAGCTAGATATACTGTAGTCAAAGAGAGGTCATAAGGTATGGCAACATTTAGTCTCATGAATATTTATTTACTAAAATTAATGAGAACATACCAGGCATGCATGCTTGTAATGTACTGTGTTAAAAAAAAACCCAAAACAAATCTACTGAAAGTCATCACTTCGCTAGTAGCAGGGCTTCTAGTCCAAAGACCTGTGATCCTGAATATTAAGGTGGGATGCCAGCAATACCATGTTTCGTAGACCATGCTATTTTTAATGGCCAGTTAAACTAAATTGACATCTTACAAATTTAAAGGAATGAGGTTTTTTGTACAGGAACAAACAAGTCTGTAGATCTGTGTATTGAGCCTAAAATCTGAAATGCCTCTTTCCACTGAAGATGGGTTTTTGCTAGTACTTCATTCAGTCAAAACAAGTTTCTTCTGTGCAGAGCTATGCTTTATTTCAATTAAGATTGGATTAAAGAGAAGCCAAAGAAGATACTTTTGCATCTCAAGGTGTTTTTATGGGCACACATTTGGAATTTTAGCATAATTGCATCTAGTTTAATTGTACCCCTCTACTAACATTTCCAGAATGGAGATGTATAGCTGTAGTCATCTATCTGTAGATAACAATAACTGAAAATAAGGACTTGTTAGCTGGAATAGTAAACCAAATTCAGACAGCAGAATCTTTAGTATAAGGTATGATCTTTGATCCTGCCACAGTAAAAGATAGTGTTTTGACATGAGTGACTTAAAACCACTGTTCATTTTAGATCTTCTTCACCTGTTTTTTTTTAATGTATTTTTTAGAAATTGGCAGAATATCACAGAATATGAATTCTTTCTAAACTATAGGTATGTGGTGTGTGATTTTGTATGTAAAATACACTCACATTTTCAAGGTGGTTCATATTATGGTCAACGTATTAGTGACATATCATATGGAAGGAGCACTCTTCACTCAGTGATAGCTACCTTTGTACAGCTATGATAGTACAACACATATCTGGTAGTTTTTTCTTTGAATAAAACAACCTTTCCAAGGGGACTCTGTAAGAGACTTTAGCATATCTTACAGGTGTTGTATAGCTCTCCTCTAACCCAGTGAAACAGTGTTGTAGATTCTAATCAAGAGCAGGAGTTAGTGGGCTGACAGTTTGACAGGTGATAGTATAGGGAACACTGTGGGTAGAAACCAGTGCTTGCTCTGATACACCCTGCCAAAGTCTTATAGTAGGGGATTTCACCACAACAGCTGACTGCTTCAGCCTGAAGAAGAGGCCGCTATTTCCTAAACAAGTGTGTGTGCTTCAGACTTAAGTAGTATAATGGGGAAAATGGGTTTGTTACCAGGGGATCTTTCTTTGTTACCACTAACACTTTGAACAGGGCACAAGAACTTAGTGCATCCAGAGATACTCTGTTTGTAGGACAGACTTGATCTGTAAAAGCTAGGCCTTTTGTATTAAAATGTTTGTTTATGTATATATATATATATGACTGGGGGCTTGAGAAAAATGTCTTTCTTTAAGCTACTGAAACTGTTTTTTGTAGCTGTAATCTGTTTAAGAAGGGGAAACAAATTACAAGCCCTGCCACAAGTGACAGCTGGCCACTGGACTTAGCTGTAATGTGACTGAGAGGAAGCACACACAATGTAGTTGAAAACTGAAGTTCACTTTTCAATTATTGCTAGTTAAAACTGCTATGACCCTCTTTGCTGTTCTTGAAAATGATAGAGAGCAAGAATGTGCCAATTTTTCTCAAGTCAGTAGCTGCTCTTCAGAGCTTACATGCATTGTGTGCTGTTGTTACATTGAGGAAGAATTCTCCTCTTATATGCCCTTCCATTTTCTGGAGGCTAGAGAGGAACCAGTGACACAGCATGCCAGGTGACAATCTGGAAATTGCTGTAATGCTATTTTTCTAATACTTACTTTACAGATCTGGTCGGGAACTGAACTGCTGAACTCAACTGTGTTCAACTTTGACAGTCTTTTGTTGTAATTTTTCAGTTGCTTGAGTCATTCACTAACCTTCTGGAAATCTGTATCAGTTTAGCTACTTTATTTAAGTTTTGAGTACACACTCTGAGAAGGTAGAGTGTTACTTGGTCCAATGTTCTTATCTTTAGCTGCAGTGTAAAATGGTAAGTTAATCTTTAAGCTGTTCATTTTGAGTCATAGATGCAGCAAATCCAGCTAAAATAAACTTGTAAGTTAAACATACACATTCAGTTTGTAATTTCTCACTAAACATGTACGTAAGACATACTCTAGAAAAATCAGATACCAAGGAAAATGAAAATCAGGCTTCATGAATCTGAATGTACAGAGTGTGTAGAATGTGTCTGTTCCTGTTCCACTTAGGGAAAGGCTGAAAAAGCAGATGGAGGGAGGGTAAAACTAGGTATCCTAAACTGTTACTTTATATACAGAAGTCATTTGCTCTCTTACTCAAGGGAATGTGCTTAGAAGGAAACATTCCTACTAAGTGAGAACTGTTCTTGGCATCAGCAAGGCTCTGACCATAAAAAAGGCTTTAATTACGCTGAAGCTGAACAACCCAAAACATTAAATGGAAGCATTTTAAGACAAAGTTTTTTTACCAATTGAATATGAAAGTTTTACTACCGAACAAATAAGTAGTTATACAGTGGAATTTAGGATGTATTTGTCATAATGTCCTCAGCTTCGTGTCTGAATATTATGTGGCTTCGTAAATCTGAAAAGAGGTAATGTGGCATACTTCACACAATAAGGTTATGAAAATATTGTCATTGCGAATGGAAGTAAAAAGATTCACTCTATTTAGCTTGACAAACTTCAGAAAATTCTACTTAATGATGTAGAAGAAAGGGAACTCTAAACTAGCTACAGATAGATTTTTGTTTTGTTTTGATGGAGAGCCTTTGGTAGCAAAGAGTTTCCAAGCTTTTGTGGGTTTCCAAGTCCTGTTGTGCATAGTGAGGACGTATTTGGACAGACACTGTAATTAAAGCTCATCCAGGAACTTTGGAATTTAATACGAGTAAGTTTGAAGAAATGTAGGATAAACAGTAACAATAACATACAGGAGTAGGAGTCCATTACAGTACTGTGAAGTCTTAAGTTATCTTATGAATGCAAATACGTATCTCTGTCCACATAGAATAAAACCATAAGTGGCAGCGTTGGCACACTACAAAACTAAGTCTCAGATTTCTCAAGTCATGATAGCATCCTGTATTTGGGATGCTTTAAATATGTACATGGCTCCGGAGCTTGAACAGTTTAAATTCCAATTCTATAAATCAAAATTCTTTAATGGGTCTGTTCTGATTTCCTCACTCTTCCTCTCCCATCTTTCTAGATTTGATGAGAGAGGGATTGAAGTGTGGGTTTCTTTTATAATAATTCAGTGTTTCTCATATTCCAAATTATTGTACAACAGCAGATATGATCTCATTCCTTTCTGTAAAGGTCATATGTTGTATCAGTTTATTAATATTTTCAGGATTTTTTATTCAGTAAAGGCTCTCTTTGCTGTTCAGCTGATCATACAATTTTGTTTGAAAATGTGAAAGGACATTTATTTTTTTCCAAACCCATCGGTGGTTGTTTGATTGTGGAAAAGCACTTTTCAGATATTTCTGGTGGACAAATAAATCCTGGTTTGACTAAACCCAAACAGTTTTACAGAGGATGCTTTTATTATTATCCTGTATTGAAAATAGTAATAATAGTTATTATTACATTCTTAGCTTTGTGATGCCTTTATGCTTTTGTCAAGATCTAGTACAATATTGATGCTAGTTCTGTGGCATCTCTTGCAGTCTTTTCTAGTTTGAGAAGCTGTGAATTTTCAACATTTAAATTACTGTCAGCATGTGCTTTTTTGGGGGATGGGTTGAGGGAGTAAGAAGAGTTAGATGATATGAAAAAATCAAGAGGAAGCATGCAAACTAGCTTCCTACTCTAATAAAGTATCAAAACACTTATTTGCAAAACATAGTTTTTTCCCATTTCTCCCTTTTTCTTGTCCCTAAGGGGAAAAACATAAAAAGTGGGTCACTTGACATACAAATAAGTGGCAATCAAGCTAGTGCATGAGACTCACTGAAGCAGAATACACAAGTCTGTAAGGTGGCTCCAGGAAACACATCAGAAGACTGTCTGGTTGAAAATTAGTCCAAATGTGTAGATATTTTTATTTTGAAGTCTCACCAGTCCCCCTTTGAGACTTAGCAAGAGGCCAACTTCCCTGCGAGGCTTGACTAAGTTAGAATCATAGAATCAACTGGATTGGAAAAGACCTTTAAGATCATAAAGTCCAACCATTACCCCAGCACTGCCAGGACCACCACTAAAGCATATCACTGAGGGCCTCATCTACATAGTTTTTGAACGCTTTCAGAGATGGTGATTCCACCACTGCCCTGGGCAACCTATTCCAATGTTTGATCACCCTCTCTGTGAAATTTTTTTTCCTAATATTCAGCGTAAACCACCTCTGGTGCAGCTTGAGGTAATTGCCTCTTGTCCTACTGCTTGTTACTTGGGAGATGCCAACCCCCACCTCATTACAACCTCCTGTCAGGTAGTTGTAGAGAGCCATAAGGTCCCCCCCTGAGCCTCCTCCAGACTAAACAACTGTGGGTTTGGACAGCTTACAATGGACACTTCCCTATTTAAACCTCCAGTGCTAGTAAAAATACAGCATTATTAAACTGGGGGATGTGAAGCGCTGAAACTTTTTCTTTTTGTTTAAGCAGAAATAAACAGAGTTGTGCTACTTGCTCTGTAGTTCAGAAAAGAACTGTGATGCAATTCTTTTTTAGTATGCAAAGCAATGGAAATATATTAAACTTAGATAATGTTTTTAAAAAGTGAAGGGTATACTTTGAGATATGAAATCAGAAAAGAAATTGTACGGAACTGGGTTTTTCTTAATGTTCTATCATTCTAAAGTGTTTTAAATTTGGGTTATGGTTTTTTGCTAAATTTGGTCATGGTGAAATTTTTTATATTAAAAAGAAGGTTTTGTAATAGAAAAGTCAAAGTTATTAATATTTTGTGGGTAATAACACTGAAGATTAGCAATTTACACTGCACTAAAGATGTAAATGCTTTAACAGAAAAGTGTACTTCTGTTCAGAATGTGCCTGTTGGCAGTACCAAAACATACCAATGGAGGGTAGCAAAAACCGGCTTTTCCAAGCAATTTAATAGAATTTGTTTGTCTTCTGAATCCTGACGATTTAGAATCATAGAATAGTTAAGGTTGGAAAGGACCTTAAGATCATCTAGCTCCAACCCCCCTGCCATGGGCAGGGACGCATCACACTAAGTAACGTCGCCCAAGGCCCTGTCCAAACTGGCCTTGTATAGTGCCAGGGAAGGAGCACTCACAACGTCCTTGGGCAACCTATTCCAGTGCCTAATCACCCTCATAGTAAAGAACTTCCTTATGTCTAACTTGAACTTACCCTGTTTTAGTTTAAACTCATTTCCCCTTGTATTATTATTACAGTCCCTGATGAGGAGTCACTCTCCAGCATCCTCCTAGGCCCCCTTCAGACACTGGAATGCTGCTATGAGGTCCCCACGCACCCTTCTCTTCTCCAGGCTGAAGAGCCCCAACTTTCTCAGGCTGTCCTGCCCCCTTACCATCCTTGGATTTGCTCCAACAGTTCCATGTCCTTTTTATGTTGAGGACACCAGAACTGCACACAATACTCCAAGTGGGGTTTCACGAGAGCAGAAGTAGAGGGGCAGGATTACCTCCTTCAACCTGCTGGTCACGCTCCTTTTGATGCAGCCCAGGATACGGTTGGCTTTCTGGGCTGCGAGCTCACACTGAAGCTGGCTTACGTTCAGTTTCTCATCAACCAAACCCCCAAGTCCTTCTCAACAGTGCTGCTCTGAATCACTTCTGTTCTTGTGTTTCAGGTGCAGATATTTGGAAGTTTTAAAACTGGTTTATATTTACCTACAAGGTCAGTAATTTTTCAGTGTAAATTCTGTACAAAAGATAGCCTTTCGAGTTTATACCTTTGTAGTGACTTATTTAATCTAATATGTTACTTGTGTGTATACTTGTTATATTAAGAGAGTGTTAAGCTATTAGTACTCTGTAAAGTGTATACAAAAATTAGTAATTAAGACTCTTAACTGTAGTACCTGTGGCTATATAGATTTTTGCATGTATTAGTAAAAGATCTGAAAATACCATGTTGTCAAAAAGGCTTGTTTTGTGACTTGGCTTCTTTAGTGACTGAACAGAAATAAGAGTTTGACCTTAAAAGAAAAGCTAAAATTTATCTACATAGGTGATTAAATTGAAGCATTTAACTTTACCTTCTTAATGATAATCTTAGCACTGAAGAGACAAGATTGTATACAGAATCGCTTTTTTTCTTTCACTCTTCTTTACTGAGATCTGTACGATAGCCACCATCTACATTTTCCAAATTTATTACTAGTTTTCATAAAGTAATTTTTCAGTTACATTGGTATCTTCTATGTAGAAATTGTAAATATTTTTGACAATTAAATAGAAATAGAATGAAAGGCTTAAATGGCTGTAGGGGACAAAAACATTTAAATAGCATAAGTCCTGAAGTTAACACTTGAATTAGGTTCTGTACTTTGGGAACATGAGGAATTGGTATTTAGTACTGACTACAAGTGCCAGATACCCAAGTCATCATTTCATGTAGTTTTGAAAAAAGAATCTGACAGATGTTTTAATACCTGTTTTAGTCTAAGGGGTTGCAGGAAGACTCAGTTGCTCAGTTTCTGTTTGGAAAGTCAGAAGTAAGGTGTACAAATACACACTGTTTTCACAATGCCTCATTTTTAGCTTTTTTTTCATTGATTTTAAATAGGCTTGATTAAACTTGATGGGTTGCTGATAATGCGAGAGAGCTATACCTATCCACATGACTGATTATTTTGAAACTGATGCAACAAAAACACTTTACTGTTGTCTATTTGATTTCATATGCTGCCTTTTCTCCATACTTGTCTCAGCTGAGTTTGGGGGGAGAAAAAATGCTGATATTTTTAAACAGTACATAAGTGTCGTGGTTTAACCCCAGCCAGACAGCTTGTGCACTCACTCCCCCCCCCCGCTTCTTGCCCTCCCCCTACTCCTGGAGGGAACGGAGAGGAGAATCAGAAAAAAATGCAACTCCCACGGGTTGAGATAAGAACAGTTTAGTAACTAAGGTATAACACAAATCACTACTGCTACCACCAATAATAGTAAAGATAAAGGAAATAACAAGGGAAGAGAATACAACACCCCATCACCAGGTGACCGATAACTCGCCCCCCCCAGCCCGACCAAGCACCGACCCATACCTCCTCCAACCCTGCAGTCCACCTAGCCCTGGCAGAGCATGAGGCTCACAAAGTCCTTGGCCAAACCAAAACATCATTTTTATCAGCTTTGTTCCCAACCCGAAAGTCAAAACATAGCACTGCACCAGCTACCAAGAAGGAGAAAAAACGACTGCTACTGCTAAACCCAGGACAATAAACCAACAAAAAACCCTCCTGTGGCAGTACTTGCTATACTTTCAAAGCAATGACAGTTTGCATGGGGGTAATTAATTCACTGTTGCCTTCTATCCAAGCTTCCTTTTGCTCTAAGTTTTCCCTACCTGTCAGTAACTGTAGAGTTAATTTAAATTTCAGGTTCTGGGATTCAGAAAGACCTACAGTGTGGGTTTTTTTATTCTGTTATTCTGTGTTATATTTTGTCTAATATTTTACTTAAGCTGATATTGAAGGTTTGGGTAGAGGGTTGTTTAGCTGCTGTGCATCTCTGTTATTTTTCATAGAATCATAGAATGGTTAGAGTTGGAAAGCACCTTAAGATAATCTAGTTCCAACATCCCTGCCATGGCCAGGGACACCTCACACTAAGCCATCTCACCCAAGGCTTCATCCAACATGGTCTTGAGCACTGCCAGGGATGGAGCATTCCCAACCTCCCTTGGCAACCTATTCCAGTGTCTCACCACCCTAACAGGAAAGGATTTCCTCTTTAATATCCAATCTAAACTTCCCCTGTTTAAGTTTTAACCCATTTCCCCTTTGCCTATCACTACAGTCCCTAACAAAGAGTCCATCCACAGCATCCCTATAGGCCCCCTTCAGATACTGGAAGGCTGCTATGAGGTCTCCACTGCAGCCTTATCTTCTCCAGGCTGAACAGCCCCAACTTTCTCAGCCGATCTTCATATGGGTGGTGCTCCAGTGCCCTGATCCATCCTCATGGCCCTCCTCTGCACTTGTTCCAACAGTTCCATGTACTTTTAATGCTGAAGACACCAGAACTGTACAAAATACTCTAAGCGAGGTCTCACAAGAGCAGAGTAGAGGGGCAGGATCACCTTCTTCGACCTGCTGGTCACACTCCTTTTGATGCAGCCCAGGATACGGTTGGTTTCTGGGCTGCAAGCACACACTGAAGCCGGCTCATGCTCATTTTCTCATGGACCAACACCCCCAAGTCCTTCTCCACAGGGCTGCTCTGAATCTCTTTTCTGTCCAACCTGTACCTGTGCCTGGGATTGCTCCGACCCAGGTGTAGGACCTTGCACTTGGCATGGTTAAACTCCATAAGGTTGGCATCAGCCCACCTCACAAGTGTGTCAAGATCCCTCTGGATGGCATTCCTTCCCTCCAGTGTATCAACCGAACCACATGGCTTGGTGTCATCGGCAAACTTGCTGAGGGCGCACTCAATCCCACTGTTCCTGTCAGCGATGAAGATGTTAAACAAGACCGGTCCCAACACTGATACCTGAGGGACACCACTCGTTACTGGTCTCCAGCTGGACATTGAGCCATTGACCACAACTCTTTGTGTGCAGCCATCCAGCCAGTTCTTTATCCACCAAGTGGTCCATCCGTCAAATTGATGTCTCTCCAATTTACAGACAAGGATGTCATGTGGGACAGTGTCAAATGCTTTACACAAATCCAGGTAGATGACATCAACTGCTCTACCACTGTCCATCAGTTCTGTAGCCCCATCATAGAAGGCCACCAAATTGGTCAGGCAGGATTTCCCCTTAGTGAAGCCATGCTGGCTGTCACCAAGCACCTTGTTGTTTTTCATGTGTCTTAGCATGCCTTCCAGGAGAATCTGCTCCAGGATTTTGCCAGGCACAGAGGTGAGACTGACTGGTCTGTAATTCCCCGGGTCATCCATTTTCCCTTTCTTGAAAATGGGGGTTATATTTCCCTTTTTCCAGTCGTCGGGAACTTCACCTGACTGCCATGATTTTTTAAATATGATGGCCAGCGGCTTAGCAACTTCATTCGCCGGCTCCCTCAGAACTCGCGGATGGATTTCATCAGGACCCATGGACTTGTGCACGTTCAGATTTTTAAGATAGTCTCGAGCCAGTTCCTCTCCTACAGTGGGCCCAAGGTCTTCATTCTCACAGTCCCTGCATCTGCCTTCCAAGACTTGGGTGGTGCGGTCAGAGCCTTTGCTAGGGAAGACCGAGGCAAAGAAGTCATTCAGAACCTCAGCCTTCTCCAAACTCTGTGTATCTGGTTCTCCCGAGAGCGTCCTGAGGGGGCCTACATTCTCCCTAGTCTGTTTTTTATTTGCTGTGTACCTGTAGAATCCCTTCCTGTTATCCTTAATATCCCTAGCCAAGTTTACTTCTAACTGGGCCTTGGCTTTTCTAACCTGGTCCCTAGCTTCCCGGACAACATCCCTGTACTCTTCCCAGGCAGCCTGTCCTTGCTTCCACATTTTATAAGCGTTTTTTTTCATTTGAATTTTCCTCAGCAGCTCCTTATCCATCCAAGGAGGTCTCCTGGCCCTCCTGCTGCACTTCCTTCTTGTTGGGATGCAACACTCATTTTTCAGGCAATATCTATACTCAAGGTGATGACAGAACTGCTTTTTCTCTCTTGGTGTGTATAAGAAAAAAAAATTGTCTTGTTAACTCTTAGCATAAGTAGTGTGTTTAACAGCAATTTAGTTTAGAAGTGTCCAGTAGCATTTCCTGCTCTCCAAGCAGGTTTTTAACATAGTTTTCTGCAGCTGGCTGATTGCTGCCTACCCTTGCCCGCTAATTGGCATGCAGCTGACACTGCTTGTTGGCAAGTGATATTTTTGTTTCTTTGAGGTTGTTAAAGTAATGTTGTCTGTGAAACAGCAGAGCTGTAGGATCTGTTGGGAGGAAAAGTATTCCTAATTTTTTTGGTGTCACCTGTTGCAGTTTTCTGTGCCACTGGTCTGCTCGTATAGCTGCAGGGTTATATGCTTGTCTCCTTTGTGTTCCCAACCAAGCAGAGAAAATCAAAGATGTTGGGGAGCAAATAGGAAAGAGCTCAAGATCTCACAGTAGCCCTCACTGGCTTTGGTTTGGACAGCAGTCATCTTTTGGATTTGAGTTTAGGCATTGAATTAGGGTGTCAAATCCCTTTGTAGTCAGATGAATGTGTACGTGCATAGGGAGGAAGTGTAGGGATGGAGACACCTCTCCAAGGAGCCGAGTTAATGAATGAAGTTAGATAGTTTGATCTTGCTTAACAGCTTGTTGCTTCCTGTAGTCAAAGTTGCCACATTTTCCTATCTCCTTCCCCGCTCCCTGTTCTTGGTGCTACAGACCAGCTGCTTACCATGTGCTAGCTGGTGCTCTGATCACCCAGAAACCCAGCTTTGAAATGCAAAGAGGCAGGAAAATACCCCACAATGTTTTGGGGTTTTTTTTAGGGGTGGGGAGTTGGTTTTTGCCACATCCATTAATATGCTGAGTTGATTTGCTGTAGATTAGATAAACACCAGACGTACAGCAGAGGAGACAGGGCCATGCATCTGGGAACAGAGGATGGAGACCAGGACTTTCCCTTTCAGTGACAGGCTGTTAAATCAGCGTTACTGATTAATACAGCCCAAAGGTGGTGCTCCACAACAAGTTACTTTCTTGCTCAGAATCACTCTGGAGAAGCTGATTCATTTCTGCAGACAGCATGGCCTGAGGAGACTAATCTTGGGATTTGCAGCCCAAGTAGTTTGTGTGTGTGTGTGTGTGTGTGTGTGTGTGTGTCTGTCCCCTACCTTGGTAATCTGAAATATTCTGTAGTTCCCCAGGTGTAAGAGTTCATCCCCCACCTCTTTCCTCAGAAAATTAAGAATAAATTATTTGGTTATATTCTGTCAGCTTTATTATGGTTATGTGTGGATGTCAGCTGTTTTTCTTTTAAGTTTATTGGTCTTTTAATTTGAATAAATCTGTGCTTTCTTTCTATTTCAGTGATATTGATTTAGTTGTGTTTGGAAAGTGGGAGACATTGCCTCTTTGGACCCTGGAAGAAGCTCTTAGAAAGCACAATGTAACAGATGAAAACTCAGTAAAGGTTTTAGATAAAGCAACTGTAAGTTTGGGGGAAGAAGGTGTCTCTTTGTTCTAAGCTAAATGTCTAATAAAATATCTTGATTAAAAGGATGAATTTTCATAAGCAGAAACTATATATAAAGATAAGCTAGAACCAATAGAACCTTTTTATTTATTACAGTTTTTATTACTCTAAAATAATTGATAATGCTACAACAGAAACATTTCTTCTGTTGGGGAAAATAATCTGATTTTTCATACTACACAACACACTTGTTTTAAAGTGAGATTATACTAGTCATTGTTGTGAATTAATGTGATTAAACTTGTGAATTTCTGGACTCAGTTTTTACATAAGTAATTTTTTCTTATTGTAAGTAAGCAGACATAATACATTTTCGCATAGATGTACTACGTGTACAGCCTTATAGAAATATGTAATGGTATGCCTTGCACAGGATAGGACAAATTCCATTATAACTTCCTATCTTCTGCTAATTGTAAGAGTATGTAAGTTTGTTGGGGGTTAAACAGGTGGCTGTTATTAGTAGAGAGAGATAATTTGGAAACCACTCAGGTGGAGATATGTCAGAGTGTTCTCAGTATCTTGTGCTTCTTGTCTGAAGATAATTTTGGTGAGGAATCAATGACCCACAATGACAGGAGTGTGTATTTTCTTGAGTATCTATTACCATTGATCTTAATTTCTTAAGTGTTTGTCTCCCCCTGGTGATTGTTTTTCCTACTAGAGCTGTGCTGCTGCACTAGGAGACAACTAAAAACAATTTTAAAGGAATCACTTTGAAGATTAAGTGTTAAGTTCTGTTAAACAGGATAGTAAATTGAAAATGGCATTTAAGAGTTAGAAAAGCAAACTTGATGTAAACTGATTGGCAAGGAGAGTGTTCTTAAATAAATAGGAGTACTGTTTTCTCTCAACAAAGTCATAAAACGTTTCAGTTTTACTGGTGCATATAAGTATGAATGAAACCAAATGTCTCTTGGAAATCTGTATTGACTTAACCTGTCTTTCTTTTGCAGGTACCTATTATTAAACTGACAGATTGCTTCACTGAAGTAAAAGTTGATATAAGCTTTAATGTACAGAACGGGGTTAAAGCAGCCCAGCTCATCAAAGATTTTATCAAGGTTAGGCAACACTGTAATAGAGCTAGAGCTGAATATTTGATGACTTGATTTTATATTTTACTTTGACTGCATCCTGACTAGAGATACACTTTCACTCTGTTATTTTTGTTGTCTACTGCTACTCCATTATATTCTTAGGTTTTAGATATTTTGCCCTGAAATACATGAAGATAGCAATGTATAAAGTATTGAGAAGTTGTAATGGTACAGTACTTTAATGGTACTAAAGAAAATGCACTAATACCTGTCTTAAATGTTCTGCTCTAACTGTGGCTCATTGAACTTAAAATTAGTAATAACCACACATTGCTGAGAGAGTAGGAATAATCTTGTTCTAGGATGAATATTATTTCAGCATACAAATGCTAATAAGGTAAAATAAGTTAAATTTAGTAAGTTATTGTTCAGGGTTTCACCAATACCTGTATCATAGATACATTACAGTTGGTTTTGTTTAGTATATGGGGTCATTTTTTTAGGATTAATATGTATTTAAAATTTTTGAAGGATCCTTACACTATTTTCCTTTCCTTCCCTTCCCCTATTCAGTGCATTGGGACACTCATAGCAAATGTCTCATAGAAGCAGTAGAAAATTTTTCTTCTATTTTTATGTTCTGTGTAGGGAGATGAAGTGCAGTTCAGTCTCACTTAAGTGTGTAGGTATTACTGTTCTACTACTGACTGCTTGGGGATTTTAACAAAACTAATGATAGCAGGAGAATCAAAGTATTTCAATAGATAAACATGTAAAACTCCTTCATAAAACTCCATAAATCTGAATAAAGCAAGCACTTCACTTTCAGTCATAAGGGTTAGAAATCATGTACATCTGCTTTAATAATGTCATTGAGTTGCAGGAGGTCTTCTAAATTTGGGGGGGGATTTTCAGTTGCTGATGAGTTGAAAGTATGGCCTTCACCTTGATAATCTTCAGTTCCTTTATGTATGTTTAGTAGCAGGTATGAAAGTAGCTCGGTTTGCTTCTACAGTGTCTTATTTCTTTAACCTGTAGAATGACACAGGAGAAAAACTTCTGTCTTTAGTTTCAGTAGAATAATCTGAGTTCTTGTCTGCATAGTCTCACCTGTGTGCTTATATATAAACCTAGTGCTGATGAGGCCTCCTGCACCTGCATTCACAGTAAGAGGGTGGGGTGGGTTCAGAAACCTTCCTTTTCTCAGTCTCTATCTGATGGACAGAAGTTGATTGTGTTGGCCAACCTTTTGCTGCTAAATCAAGACCGATAGTTTTGTGCTATGTAGCTTCTTGTTGGGGAAAGAAGATGCCCAGATTCTTTGTCTCAGGACACATACTTGGAATTTGGCAGCTAACTTAAGTTTTTTGCATACTGTGCATTGTCACATTGTCTTGTGGTGGACAGGCAATCTGTATTTGCTTTTCTGCCACAACACAAGGGCTGTATTTCAGTTAGATTCTGCATACACATTTCTCTTTAGGTAAATCCATAAGGCCCTGCCTGCTTGCCCAAAATTGACTATGTGCTTCTTGATTTATGACTGGAGTGTTGAAATGGAAGGTTATAGGCTCTTTAGGAAAGACAGGCCAGGCAGACGAGGAGGGGGGAGTAGCTATTTATGTTAATGATAGGCTAGAGAGTATGGAACTCTGTCTGGGGACAAGTGATGGGTCAACAGAGATCTTGTGGGTTAGGGTCAAAGAGAGAACTGCGATGGGGGACATTATAGTGGGGATCTGCTACAGGCCACCCGATCACAAGGGCTGTGTGGATGAAGCACTCTATAGACAAATAGGAGCAGCCTCATGCTCGAAGGCCCTTGTCCTCATGGGGGACTTCAACCACCCCCATATCTGTTGGAGGCATGGTAAGGCCTGGCACAAGAAATTGAGGAGGTTCCTCGATTGTGTGGAAGACAACTTCCTTCTGCAAGTAATAGAGGAGCTGATAAGGAGAGGTGCCATGCTTGACCTTGTGCTCACCAACAGGGAGGGGCTGTTAGGGAATGTGATGCACCAGGGCAGCCTTGGCTGTAGCGATTATGAGATGGTCAAGTTTGAGATCCTTAGGACAGTGAGAAGAGCATGCAGCAAGCTCACTGCCCTGGACTTCAAGAGAGCAGACTTTGGCCTCTTCAGGAACCTGCTGAGTAAGGTTCCATGGGATATAGCCCTAGGGGGCAGGGGGGGCTAAGACTACTGGCTGATATTCAAGGATCTGCTCTAAGCTCAGAACTGTTCTGGCAGGAGGGCAGGAGACTTCCATGGATGCTGAGAAAACTTAGAGGGGAAAAAAAGAAGCTTATAAAAGGTGGAAATAAGGACAGGTGGCCTGGGAAGAATACAGGGATGTTGTCCGAGAAGCTAGGGACCAGGTTAGAAATGCTAAGGCCCAGTTAGAATTGAGTATGGCCAGGGATTTGAAAGATAACAGGAAGGGCTTCTATAGGTATGTAGCAAACAAAAGATAGACTAGGGATAATGTGGGCCCTCTCCGGAAGCTATCAGGAGAGCTGGCTACCCTGGATTGGAGAAGGCTGAGGTTCTTAATGAATTCTTTGGCTCAGTCTTCACTGGCAAATGCTCTGACCACACCACCCTAGCCTTGGAAGGTAGATGCAGGGACTATGAGAATGAAGACCTTAGGCCCACTGTAGAAGAGGATCTGGTTTGAGACCATCTTAAGAACTTGAACGTGCACAAGTCCATGGAACACGGATGGAATCATGGCAGTCAGGATGGACTCATGACAGTCAGATGAAGTTCCCGATGACTGAAAAAAGGGAAATATAACCCCCATTTTCAAGAAGGGGAAAATGCATGATCCAGGGAACTACAAACCAGTCAGTCTCACCTCTATGTCTGGCAACATCTTGAAGCAGGTTCTCCTGGAAGGCATGCTAAGGCACATGAAAAACAACAAGGTGCTTGGTGACAGCCAGCACAGCTTCACTAAGGGGAAATCCTGCCTGACCAATTTGGTGGCCTTCTATGATGGGGCTACAGAACTGATGGACATGGATAGAGAAGTTGATGTCATCTACCTGGACTTGTGCAAAGTGTTCGACACTGTCCCACACGACATTCTTGTCTCTAAATTGGAGAGACATCAATTTGATGGATGGACCACTTGGTGGATAAAGAACTGGCTGGATGGCTGCACACAAAGAGTTGTGGTCAATGGCTCAATATCCAGCTGGAGATAAGTATTGAGTGATGTCCCTCAGGGGTTGGCATTGGGACTGGTCTTGTTCAACATCTTTGTTGCTGACATGGACAGTGGGATTGAGTGCGCCCTCAGAAAGTTTGCCAATGACACTAAGCTGTGTGGTTCGGTTGATACGCTGGAGGGAAGGAATGCCATCCAGAGGGACCTTGTCAAAATTGTGATATGGGCCAATGCCAACCTCTTGTGGTTTAAGCTCAGGCCGTTAATCCAAATCATGCAGTCTCCCCCCCCTCCCCCCCCTTCCAGAGGGACGGGGAGGAGAATCAAAAGAATGTAACTCCCACGGGTTCAGATAAGAACAGTGCAGTAACTAAGGTATAACACAAACCACTGCTGCTACCAGCAATAATAATAATGATAAGGGAAATAACAAGGGAAGAGAATACAATACCACCCGTGGAAAACCAGCCTGACTGAGCAGTGAGCCAGCCCTTCCGGGTAACTGCCATTTACATTGCGGGCATGACGTGCTGTGGTATGGAATACCTCTTTGGCTCGTTTGGGTCAGTTGTCCTGTCTCAGTTTCCTCCCAGCTTCCCCTCCTCCCTGACAGAGCGTGAGACTCACAAAGTCCTTGGTCAGACTAAACATTTGATCAGTAACTAAAAACATTGGTGTTATCAGCGCTGTTCCCAGGCTGAAAGTCAAAAAACAGAGTACTGCACCAGCTACTAAGAAGAAGAAAAAATGACTGCCCCTGATGAACCCAGGACACAGTCTTATGAAGTTTAACGAGGACATGTGCAAGGTCCTAGACCTGGGTCAGGGCAGTTCCAGACAGAGCTACAGGTTGGGCAGAGAAGAGATTCAGAGCAGCCCTGTGGAGAAGGACTTGGGCGTGTTGGTTGATGAGACATTGAACATGAGCCATATTCAGTGTGTGCTTGCAGCCCAGAAAGCCAACCATATCCTGAGCTGTATCAGGAGTGTGACCAGCAGGTCGAAGGAGGTTGTCCTGCCCCTCTGTTGTACTCTTGTAAGACCCCACTTGGAGTACTGTGTGCATTTCTGGTGTCCTCAACATACAGAGGACATGGAACAGTTAGAACAAGTCCAGTGGAGGGCCACGAGGATGATCAGGGGGCAGGAGCACCTCCTGTATGAGGACAGGCTGAGAAAGTTGGGGCTATTCAGCCTGGAGAAGATAAGGCTGCATGGGGACCTCATAGCAGCATTCCAGTATCTGAAGGGGGTCTAGGAGGATGCTGGGGAGGGACTCCTCATCAGGGACTGTAGCAATAGGTAAAGGGGAAATGGGTTTAAACTAAAGCAGGGGAAGTTAAATTAGATATAAGGAAGAAGTTCTTTACTGTGAGGGTGGTGAGGCACTGGAACAGGTTGCCCAAGGAAGTTGTGAATGCTCCTTCCCTGGCACTGTGCAAGGCCAGTTTGGACAGGGCCTTGGGCGACGTTATTTATTGTGATGTGTCCCTGCCAATGGCAGGGGAGTTGGAGCTAGATGATCTTAAGGTCCTTTCCAACCCTAGCTATTCTAGGATTTTCTCATTCTAATTTTGGGATAGGAGGTAGTCTTCTCTTTAGAGCCTGAAAGCATTTTTGTGTGCTTAGAAAAAAAAGGGTATTAGCATGCTCCTGTTGCTCAGGTTATCTGTAACTGGTTGGAGAGTGTCATGGTTTCAGCCCAGCTAGTAACTCCGAAATACACAGCCGCTCGCTCACTCCCCCGCATTCCTCCCCCCCTCCTTGAAGGGTGGGTAGGAGAATCAAAAGAATGTAACTCCCACAAGTTGAGATAAGAACAGTCCAATAACTAAGGTATAACACAAATCACTAGTGCTATCACCAATAATAATAATAAGGGAAATAACAAGGGAAAGGAACACAATTACTCACCACCTGCCAACCAATACCCAGCCTGACCCGAGCCGTGATCTGGGCCCTCTGGGTATCTTCCCCCAGTTTATATACTGGGCATGACATACTTTGGTATGGAATACCCCTTTTGCTAGTTTGGGTCAAGTGTCCCATGTCTGCTTCCTCCTGGCTTCCCCTTGTCCCTGGCAGAGCATGAGACTGAGATAATACTTGATAGGAGTAAGCATTACTTAGCAACAACTAAAACCATCAATTTTGTCAGCATTGTTCCCAGGCTGAAAGTCAAAAACACAGCACTGCAGCAGCTACTAAGAAGGAGAAAACTGACTGCTTTAGCTGCACCCTTTGGCCTTGGGTCAGGGCATGGTGAGAGCAGGCTGTTCCCCTAAGGAGGGAGTGGGAGCTGTGAGTGGCAGCCAAGCAGGCATAGGGTGGGGGTGCAGACCCATGGTACTCCAACCTGAGGCACACAGAGCAGGTCTGGTGACAGTAGTTGCGGTCAGCTCACAGGCCGTCCAGCAGCTGGAAGACCTTTTCCCAGTGAGGAGGTTGAGGCTGAGGATGCTGTGTCAGTGGTTAGCATCAGGGTCAACATCATTGCACAGCAGCATGGCTCAGGCAGATACCAGGGGAACAATGGAGATGAAAGCAGCTCTTGAGAGAGGTGGAGGGATTCCCCACAAGCCTTCCCACATGGCGCTTTCCCACAGGGCTGTTTTCCCAGCAGCCCAAGCCAAGGCTGTGCAGCTGTGCCACACCAGTGCTGGCCTTGAGTGCAGGTGGCTGAGCCTGGTGTGGCAGGCAGAGGTGGCACTCAGCCCTGGCACACACTGGTAATGGTGTTCTTGAGGATCTTTCTATGAAACACTTGCAGGGCATTGTCTTGGGTCTTATTTTGACCCACATAACTTTGAATTACCTAATGGGGGTGTCGTGCTCATTATTACCCTTGGAAAATGCCTATTTCTGTTAATTTATTTGGAAGTTTGAGGCAGCTCAAGCCTTAATTAAGGGTTTGCAGTTTCCTGAGAAAAATCCCATCTTTGAATTTTGGTATATACAGATAGTCAACACTCTAGCTTGTAACTCTTAAGTTCTTAATAGTTCAAAAAAGTGATCTTGGGATCTTAGGTTAAATAGGGCTCCTGATACACTAAGACTTGTGCAGAAAAGTTCTTAGAGAAATTCTCAATTTCCCTTTAATCCTTTGCAATCATAGATACCATGATCCACATGTCTGAAAGTAAGGGCCTTGGTTCTGTATTGGTGTTATTGAGCCTCTTTTGCCCCCTGCCCTTTGAAGGGGTGTTCAGGGTGCAGGCGTAGCCCCAGCCTCCACTGCTGTCCAAAAGATCCTTGTTCTCTGCACATGTAGTGTATGCACACTTCTGAGGAAATCCATGCTGACAAACCTATTGAAGGACCAGGTACCCAAAAGTAAGTATTTGGATCCTTCAAAAGTGTTATTTGGGTGTAGTAATGTTGAAGAACTGTTTTAAACTCTGGGCATCTGAAGAATTTTCAAGACAGAATTTTCAGCCCACTGTGGGATATCAGCTTGGTTGTGGCAGGAAGGTTTTGTTACAGACATGGATATCTCCACAGTTTTTCCTTTTCACTTGTATGAGAAAATCAAATGTATTTATGTATTCAAACAAAATAATTCTGATTTTATGAGATAGTAACTTTTTTTCTATTTTTAATATCTGCCACTGGAGTTGAAGAAGTAAAATACCTGTATTGACCACAGGCAGAGCAGTTAGCTTCTCCCCTGGTACTAAAAGTAATAAATTAGAATTATACTTAGCTTTGAGATGTAATATAACAGATCGCTTTATTGTGCTTTCTTAGTATCAGTTGTAGATATGCATCACAGTGTCCTAACACCTTTGCTTTTCTTTTTCAGAAATACCCTGTGTTACCATATCTAGTTTTAGTATTGAAGCAGTTCCTGTTGCAGAGGGACCTTAATGAAGTATTTACAGGTGGAATCGGTTCTTACAGTCTTTTTTTAATGGCTGTCAGCTTCCTTCAGGTAAGCTTAATGAAATCTATTGATGCCATTGGTGCAAAAGGATGTTATATTAAGAAAGAATTTGATCAGCCCTTAAATTTAGTCATCTAATGGGCTCCTGTTTGTTGTTTTGCACCCTCTTTTCATTTAAAAACAGACAACATCCCACCTGTCTTCTGTTCTTTTTCCGATACTGGAGCTTTTGATATTAGAGGTGTTTGGAACATCTGTTAGTGTATCAGTACCAGGCACACATGTCATTCATGGTAAAATAACTTGACCATTGTATAATTTATTTGGAACAAGCTAGTTAGGTTACTGTTAGATGCAGCTGTCCTTTATAACACTTGTTTTCCAGGTCTGACACCCTGGATGTGCTTTAAAGAATGCAGTGGAATTTTACTATTTTGTCTAGGGTTTTAAGCTGAAATCGAACACGTTTTACAACTTTCTCTTAAATCTAAGAGAACAAAATGCATGAACTAAATCTATATTGTTGTGCCTGGGGGAGAAAAATATTGTAGAAATATGAAGTAGCCAGGTTTTGGCTTTATCAGACTCATTTTTTTTCTTGTACTAAATGTTATTGTGTAACTGCATCTGCATTTGCATGTCTGTACTTTCCAGACTGCAGTTACTTTTAAACCTGAACCTTGAGCTGGAGCTTGGTGTTTGCTGAGTGCTAGTGCAGTTGCTTGCTGAGCACAAAAGAAATGGAGACAGCAAGCATATCTTTTTGAAAGAAACTAAAATCTCAATCTCTTCCAACCCCAATTTTTTCTTATATTGACTAATAGCATCTCCATTTGCTCTGCAGAAAAAGCAGTTAGGTTTTGTATCTGTTTAAATTATGAACTGGTTTTGTTCATAATCTCTCAGGTTGCATACTTAAAAGCATAGGGGATCATTTACATAGCTGTGAATGTTAGAAGCCTGTATTTGTATTCCAAACCCAGGTTTGTGAAGTGTGGATATATATTTATGTTGTTTTTTTTACCAGAACCCTACCATTAGTCCTGGAAGGTCGCTTACTGAACTGAAAGTTCAAATACAGAAACATTAATACTTGACAGCCTTATTTTTAAGAGGTAATTAGTTTATAAAAGTTTTGATAGCATCTTGTTTTAAAGATTTAAAACTGCTTTATCAAGGAAAATATATTTAGACAAGTTTGCTTTATATATTCTGTTTTATTATTTTTCATTGTATTTAGACATGCTTGCTGTGAAAAAGCAAAGGCACTTAAAGGTACTTGAAACTTGAAGTCTTAAGAAAATGATTGTGTTTTTTTTTCTCTCTTCTCAATAGCTACATCCCAGGGAAGATGCCTGTATGACCAATGCCAACTATGGTGTTCTTTTAATAGAGTTTTTTGAATTATATGGGCGTCACTTCAATTATCTGAAGACTGGAATCCGAATAAAGGATGGCGGCTCTTACGTTGCCAAAGATGAAGTGCAAAAAAGCATGATGGATGGCTACAGACCATCAATGCTGTATATTGAAGATCCATTACAGCCAGGTATCCTCATAAACCAACACTTAACATACAAAGATTATGGGAATGCTTAATCTAGAGGAGTTAAATCAAAGAATAGTAGAATGACCACCAAAACCCAAACAGAAACACCTCATTCATGTGTTTGAACACAAGATGCACTCGGAACACAACAGTGTTCTTTAAGGCACGTTCCTAGTAAATTACCACGTTGGCCCAGAGTGTGCCTGTGCTACGTAAGTGCTACATGTAAGTGCTACATTAATCCATAGTGGCTTCATTCTGTACTATTACCTTTATGTTAAGGTTGACTGTTGGCTTCAGTGGGGTGGCTTCTGGAATGGCGAGTCAAGTGCTGCTGAAAGAGTTAACGTATTTTTGATCTAGAAAAATGTTATCCAGGACAGTCCTGTTACATGTGTGATATAAGCAGTGCAGGATTTTATGTTTTCTTATTTTTTGATTCACGTATTGCACTTTTACCCAGAGAATTGCCGTTTTGAACCTCTGTGCATATAAATATCTATATTAAAAAAAAACCTCTTTTGAATATCTATGGTCCAGTAATCCTATTCTACAAGAGGTAACTGCAGTGAGTTGGGACGTAAGGGCAATTTTTAAAAAATATCACCGTGTCTTGTCTGAAAGGAGATAACCACAGTTTCAATCTTATTTATTTAATTGTATTCTTACTTTAAGGTAATGATGTTGGGAGGAGTTCCTATGGTGCCATGCAAGTGAAACAGGCTTTTGATTATGCCTATGTTGTTTTGAGCCATGCAGTTTCCCCAATAGCTAAATATTACCCTAACAACGAAACGGAAAGGTAAATTTTATGAGTCTAAATCTCAGACAGAACTTGCTTATATTTTTGTGTGTCTAAAAATTAATCATGTTAATTTTTTTTTTCTCTCTTTTACAGTATATTAGGTAGAATAATTAGAGTAACACAAGAGGTGGCTGCATACAGAGAGTGGATATCAAAGCAGTGGGGAATGCAAAGTAGAGCGGAGTCTTCGTGTAACAGTAAGTTTTGACTAAGCATGGCTGATAGTGGGAAGCTTCCTGCGTGCTTTGATCAGATTTTGCTGTTGCTTTTGCCTCACATAAGGCAATGCATGCATTTTAATATGAATTCACTTTTTTGCTTTTCCTATTATTCTTATCCAGATGATGTAGATTTGTATAAGAGTAAAAAGGCCATATGTCGTGGTTTAAATGTCTATCTTTATTCTACTGCAGTAGATGTGGCCAGCATATATTATTTTATTTATTTTCATTGCCCATCTTCTGACTTCACCAGCCAGTCGCCAGCCTCTTTTGGTGTAGGTGTATCTGCTGTCTGGAAGTTTTAAAAGTAAAATGAGTTCTAACACCTCCGGTTAATTTTAGAATGTTGCCTTCTAGAAGTCTTCTTTTGTTAGGGGTTAAGGAGAGAAGATGACACAACTACCAAGTCTTTAGGCTAGGATGGGATTTTGTTTATTTTTTAAAGCTTTTGTTAGTGATTTCCCTCACTGTCCTTGTAAATTGAATGTGCTCCTGGACCATTTGTGTTTTATCAGTCTGCAGACCCTTGTGGCACTGCTGTACAACCTGGTCATGGCTGACAGCCACTGTTCAGTCCCACAAGCTCCAGAGTAACACTTGGCTACCTGATGCGATCTATGTATTAGCCTCCATATGCAAACACAGCTAGTGAGGCAGCAAGTGTATGCTGTGTAAATCAGAGGTAACTCCTTGGAGTCTTACATAAGATAAAACAGTAATAAGATAGCCCTGTATCAGGAAGATAGTGGTGGCAGTTGCAGTAGTTGTCTTGTAGGTTTATTTTAGATTTAAGTTCTGATTTTTCCTTTTTATACTTAAGGTAGAAGTTAGTGAGATATGAGAGTTCTATATCTCGTATTTTCAGTGTAGAGTTGCTTCAAATAAGCAACCAGGCTTATTTGAAGTTCTTATGACACTTAGCAGCTCCAGTAGAAAAAGAAAAAGGAGCTGCTGAGTACTGGGCAGATAGGAAAGGAATTTAAACCTATCTGAGTGCTGTTGAAGTGTGTCATGGATCAGTCTCATCAAGCAGCACATCTGAACTTTGTTACTACCTTCTTCCATCTCTTATCTCTCTAATTTCCAGCTTGAACTGTTGGTAATGCTTGGTGGTTTCCACAGTGTATTTTAATGGATCTTCTTGGGAAACCACTGCACCATCTGTGAGTTGTTGGCTTGCTGCAGGCAGTATATGCATACAAAACGTGTCTGCATATATTAAAAGTATGTACATGTGCAGATGTCTCTACATGTCCTGTTGGATGTAATAGATATATAATACCTGAGGGGATATATTAAAGAAAAACAACATATTTTAGTAGTTACTGTGTGGTGATGCTTCCATTTTGCTTTTTAATAGGTAATGGAGTAACCTTGATAGTAGATACTCAGCAGCTAGACAAATGCAACAATAATCTTGCTGAAGAGGATGAAGCACTATCAAAACCTAGAAATAAAACTTCAGAAATACTTAGTAAACATTCTTCAAATTCTTCGTCAGGTCCTTCATCATCATCCTCTACACTGTCCAGCTGTAGCGATGTAGTAAGTACTGGTGGTTTTCTGATTTTTTGTTTGTTTGTTTGTTTTTTGGTTTTTTTTGGGGGGTGGGGGGGTGGGTTGGTTGTGGTTTTTTTTTTTCTGATCTTTACTTCCACAGAATACATTTTGAAAGCTTGGAATACTAGTTAGTTATTTCATCCAGAATCCTAACTTGCATAAGATGTTACCTCTTATACAATTTCTACACATGTAAGTTGCAGTGTGTTTTTGACACAACACGCGTATAAAATGAACGTAGCAGATAAGAGTTACATAGCCCTCTTTTTCTCTGGGAAAACTGTGTTTAAAAAAAAAAAGCCTTAAAAAATGTTTGGGAATTTTATTTAAAACCAAAAGCTAAATCCCAAAATCAGAATCATGCATCGATACATTTTTAAATCTGTTTTACTCAGTAAGATTGAAAGAATTTTAGTATCTAATAAAATAAACACATTTGAAGTTTTGTCTACTGCTAGCTGTATTGGAAAACTCACTAATAGAAACACTTACTAATACTTTACATTTTCCTGAAGGATTCTGATGGAACACCTTGCAAAACGTCTAAACAGTTGAGTTGTCATCAGTCTACCAAAAACAGAGTGGGGTCACAAGAAGTGTCACTGGAATCTTCCCAGTCAAGTGGGAAAACACAAAATAGCCAAACAGCCAATACTTCCAGCAACATGAACAAATCTCAGGTTTGTGAAATGTTTGGAGACAACAGCTGTATAGATCATTTGAATATTGCACATCCTTCATGGAAGAGTAGCTTGTTCTGGAAAGGAAACACTGTTTTTGACCTCCCCTTCATTCCACTAAAAAGCTTTGAGCACGGGTTCTCTGTTTAGTTTACACAGAGGACTTTGCAGCAGGGGCTTTCCCAGCCTTAAACTAGATGAAATAAGATTGACTTTATTTTGGGAAACCTAAAGTTGCCAGAAGCATACAGATGTTCTGCAACCATTTCCTTTGTATAGAAAGCATATCAGTCCAGTCGTGACAGCAGAATTCGAGAACCAAAGAGACTTGCCTACATTTAGTGAAAGACGGTTAATAAAATTGTATGTTTCAAACATGACTGGCAGCTGTTAGCTGTTAGTACTTGCTGAACTGTCTTTCAGCTTCTATGCTTCTATGTCTTTCTGTGCTTCTGTGACAAATCAGTGATATGGAAATACTATATGCCTCTATACAGAATATACTTTGGATACATGCAGTTTATATTTTTATAATTTTTCAGAATTTAAGACTTCTTTAATATATGGAAAATAGTTTGGAATCTTCCGGAATAGTACTCCTGAAAAGTAATGCTGGAGACTTTCCTCGTACTTGCTGACAGTCTCTCTCTAGCTAATACTGAGTTTACAAGCTAGGCCTTGGATATACCATGAATGTGTGTTTGTGTTACTACACAGAGCTAATTCTGGTGCTGGAATGTGCAAATGCACGATCTGAGGTACTCTACATCTGTAAAAAGATGTGGTATAAAATTAGTCCTGGCCTTAAAAGAATCTTGTCGTAATTTTACACAGAAGATGAGATTTGATTAGTCTTCATCTGTTGTCTTGGATTGTGGTGGTCTGCTTCTGTAAACCATATCTTTGCAAAATGGGAGCAACAGAACAGTTCGATCCTTTCCAAAATTCAGACTGCTCTGCTCTTCTTTCTTGACCTGCACGGATTTGGGTCTAGATATTAACATTTGTTTGCAACCACCAAAGGGAAAGATTTGTGGTACTGTGCTGTCCTGGCTTCTGCTGCTGTATCAGTTGTTTCAAGTGTAATGCTTTCATGAGTTAACATCCTCATTATCCAGAAATAGGGCTGTGTAGTTGCCACGCTTTTTTTCCTTTTAGAACTGATTTACCATGTTCTCCTTATTTCACAGCATGGATCTGCATGGTTATTTTGCTCTTCTAACAAAGACTTCCAGGGTCCAATAAACTCAAGCCACAGTACCTCAGTCACAAACAAACATCAAGGCAGCAAATCACACCATCACTTCTTCCATGGCAAAAAGAGGAAGCACAAGAGGGATACGGCCCTTTCAGGCCTTTGTAGATAGTTGCCTATATTATGACTGCCTTTCTGTGTGCAATGATCTCATGCTACAGGATAGTTTGATAGTGACTCCTTGGATCTCTTCCAGAGCTTCAGACTGTTACTGATTAGCAACTGCAATTTTTTTTCCCAGCTCACCACAGAACAGATCATGAAGATTGATCACTGCAAAAAATGTTAAAAAAAGAGAAACAAAAACAAAAAAGAGGAAAAAGCTACTCATTTAATAAGTCATATGCTACAACAGGGTCATTTAAGATATAAATGCTTGAATGTAAAATAAATTTATTTCTCATGCTGACCTGTAGAGGTAGTACTCAGTGTGTCTAGGGGTTGGTAACAAACAAATAAAACACACAAAATAGGGGGCAAAAAAGTCAAAAAGTTGTATTTTGAGGGAAACCCATCCTTTAAAGGTGAAAGTAATTTGTGCATGATTTTCTTATTATTTTTGCATATACTTACCCTTTTATTGTGTAGGTATACATAACCATAAAGGGAAACTGACATTTGTAATAGTGGATTTGTTAATACTTTTTATATAACATTACTGTTTAAATTGTAAACAATTTTTTCTCAGGATTAGTTTGGAAAATAATCTGAATTGTTATCTTAACATCCATATAAAGAAACATTACTTGTTATATTGCTCAGAATTTCTTTTCTTGGCATTTAAAACATTTAATAGAACATTTGATCTGCAAAAGCTGTTCCTTTGCAAGAAAGGCTTATGGTGACAAATGATGTTTTTCATTTGTATAAAGTGTACATGTACTTTGTGAAGACGCTGAGTTTGTCATCTTGGAGAAGTAACCTTCACCTTGTTTTCTAGAATGCCGTCATTTGGATGGAGTCTTGGGTGACATGGTTTAGTGTGTGGTGTCCCTGCCTATGGCAGTGGGGGGTTGGAACTAGATGATCTTAAGGTCCTTTCCAACCCTAACTATTCTATGATATCAGGCAATGGGGTTTTATAGTTGCATCCTTCTCTTCCGCCCCTTACTGGTCTCTCCCCAACCCTTTCTTTTTTTTTAAAGAAATATAAAGCCACTTGGGGGGTTGGTGGTGTTTGGTTGGTGGTGGTGATTGTTTTATTCTTGTTTGTTTGTTTAAAAAAACCCACAAAGGACAACTAGATTTGTTAGACATTTGCATTCCTGGGCTGCTTTAATCCCATTCCTCTTTGTGCCTTCCACTCCCCCTTCCAGGTATGGGGCTTTTTGTGTTTTGTATTTTTGCTAACTCCTGTAGGAGATAACTGTTGAAACATTAAGTAAATTTTACAATTAAAGTATTTTTTCTCACTCCCTTCTGAGGCATTTTCATATTTACACTTAATTATTAAAAAAAAAAAAAACTACTTCAAATAATAAAATATGTTTTGTATTGCCTTAAAGACCCAAACCTTTTATATCTCATAGTATTTCTTGTTGAGCTAGTTATCATTTAATTTCAGCTCTGCATTTGTCTGGTTCAGTTGCATTACAAGTCTAGGTTGCAGTAACTGATGCCATGAATGTGAAGTGTGTAATTGCCCTCACACACAGGCATAGATAGCTTGGCACAGGAGTTGGGATACTTCAGTAGAGGAAAGTGGCATTTACTTTCACATACTTCTTTAAAGAGGAAGGTGTGCACTCAGCATATGTGGCTGTATTTAATGCAGCTGTTCTGGAGATGATTACTATTAGCTTTTAGAAATGTTTTATATTATGCATTTACAGAATACTACAGACCAACATGACCCTTAATGGGCACTAATGAGTGCAGTGATTTTTAAAATAAAATAATGCTAAAATAAGACCAGAACTGATGTAATCACTTAATAAACATTTTCAATGTGTTAAAGTGGTTTACTTCAAAAAGGAAAATATATGTATTAAAAAAAATGGAAAATCATAACATTTAGTCAAACACTAAGCTTATAAGTGACATTAATTTGACAATGGTTTGGTGTTTTTTTAAAGATTTTTGATTAATATTTTAATTTGATCATATAATTTTATCAACAAGATGCTCAGCTTTTGTTTATAGAAACTAGTAAAAGTTGTACTACATTATGCATAATCACAGTATTATTTTAGATTCTTGTGAATGTGTAGACTTATATTCACTGCTTAAGGAAAAATTATTTATAAATTATATTAATCCAGTATTGTTAGCTGCTATTAGCAAACCTGTTCTAAAACTTGCAAAGATCTGTATTGCATTTCCCACACTGAAGTGTTTTTAAAAGAATCGCCCTCATTGTTGAAAGCAAATGTACTCTTAGGGTGCAGATATTAGTGTTCCATTAAGCATGTAATAATTTTAAAGTGGTGGTAGTGGGAAGGTAATCTTGATTCCATTGAGAATCTTAGCTTTGCCTCAGTTTATGGTTTTCATAAATTTAATGGAAAATAGCTTTTCCTGAACTGTTCAAGTTTCTTTTTGGTAAACAGTATCTTTCTAAAAAAAAAAAATATGAAGAAAAAATTGAGGTATTTTACATTGCCTCAAGTGACCAGCATTGTATTAATAAAATACTGTATGTCTTGCAAATCTTTATTTAAACAGAACAGTTGAACTGTTCATTTTTCAATCTGAAGTAAAATACTTTCAAGACTTTTTACTTTGCCTGCTCATTTGTCTTGTAGTTTTCATCTCTGTATTTGACTCAAGTCTAATTCCTTTTTGAGTTTCAATAATTCTGTGAAGATTTTGTGAATATATGAAAAATAAACGTTTAACTACTGCAGTTTATCACCATTCTTGATGCTTACCCTATTTTTTCCTTCACAGCACTGTATGTGGAAAGAGCAGGCTACCTTTGCAGTCTTGCTGCTGGTAGTCTACCAAAGATCATCTGAAATACATAAATAAGCTGAAATGTTTATGTATCTTCCATTTGACATTAGCTTGATTTGGTAAAGATTTTTTTTTATTTGTTTGTTTGGGGGTTTTACTTAAAGAACAGTTCAAAGGTTGTTTATAGTTAAAAGATGTGTATTACTTACTATTTCTTTTAATTGTCAGTCTTCTACCTTGTGGCAGAAAAGAAACTGAAATGTAAGGAAATCTTCCTGTTTGTAAGACGTGATGTGATCCTGTTTTCTAACCTCCATGTTCTGTGCAGCTTCCTCGGAACTTACAGCTCATGTTTTTAAATGTTTATAATAAACTTGTTTTCCTAGAACTTAATCTTTAGAAAATAGTAGTCCAATGGCTAGTGGCAACTTTTTTATGTACTTTCAACAGGACTTTTCCCATTTTACATCTGGAGTCATCATGAATGCATCCTAAGTATTATGTGAGCAACTGGTTGGAAAGCAGTGTCATCTTGAAAATGTATTGCAAATAAAAGCAGCCAGCCCCAAAGAAGTGGTAAATGCACCATCCCTGGCAGTGTTCAAGGCCAGGTTGGACAGAGCCTTGGGTGACATGGTCTAGGGTGAGGTGTCCCTGCCCATGGCAGGGGGGTTGCAACTAGATAATCCTTTCCAACCTGAACCATTCTATGATTCTATGACATCTTGATGGATGTTAAAGCTCATGATAGATGTTAAAACTGAATGTGTGACTCCAACTTTATTTCCTGAAGAGTAAAAGCTATAGGAGGTTACAAAGTATGTACTTATTCAAGAAAGGAGTATATTTATCTGTTGAGGGCCTGTAACAAAAAAGAACATTTACTTCCTGTTAAAGTGAAAAACGTAGCCATTATTTATTCTGCCAACTCCTAGAACTTGATTCTTTTGCTTAATGATGCAAAATAATTTTTGAGGAATTAGGTCTACTGTCTTCAAACTGTTTGTCTTGAAAATGCAAAATTTGAGTGCTTAATTTTCTACCTAATGTGTGTGTAGTGTTTCCGTAAGGTTTCCTCAGAAATGTTTTCCAGGTGCAGTGACTTAAATGCAAATGTGTCTTGACTATATTCCCATGAGTCATTTACCAGCAGCTGACAGATACATATTCATGGTTTCATCTGTAAGTTGAAACCAGCTTTGCAGTTCTCATGGTGCTCAGTTGCCTCACGGTTGTAGATTTTTCCTGTACCAAAGTTACTAGGCTCTTCTCCATAGTAATTTGCTCTGAGCCTAATTAACTTATCTTCAAAGGTTGGTTGTTAGGATGTTTGAGGTTATCCCAGAGAACTTAACCAACACCAAGAATCCTTTTTAAGTTACTTAATGGAAAATGTCCTGAGTAACACAAGAATTACAATTCAAATGGCCTTACTGGCTCTTTACAAGTCCAAAGTTTGTGTCAAGTATCTACTTCAGAAGGAAATAGGAATGCAAGAAGCTGGAAAGTGGCTGTTGCACATTTGAGCACAGTAGTGCTAAACCAAATTAATCCACATTTCAGATTACTCTAAAATTCAGTCAATTTTGAACAGCTTTTATCTTAATTATTGGTCTATTTAGTGATTTCCTCACCATGACCATTTTATTGATTCGTGGACTCCAAAAACTTGTAACAGAAATAGGGTACCTTTGGCAGACACCTTGATCATACAGTTCAGTAGGCAGTAGCTAGCTTAAAAATACCTGTTCCCATTTGCTCTTTCCTATAGTAGTGAAACCAGTGGAGAAGTTGGATATGTCTGAAATGGGGGGGGGGGAAGAAATGTGAATCTTTAGTTTGTTGTAAATTAATGGGTAACAGCTGATAGGATCCTGAAAATCACTTACATACACAAATATGTAAAGGAAGATGAAGAAATCTTGGAGATCCTCTGCATAAAAATAGAATGAGAATCATAGAATAGTTAGGGTTGGAAAGGAACTTAAGATAATCTAGTTCCAACCCCCCTGCCATGGGCAGTGACACCTCGCACTAAACCATGTCACCCAAAGACTAGTCCAACCTCGCCTTGAACGCTGCCAGGGATGGAGCATTCACAACCTCCCTGGACAACCTATTCCAGTGTCTCACCACCCTAACAGGAAAGAATTTCTTCCTTAATATCCAATCTAACCTTCCCCTGTTTAAGTTTTAACCCATTACCCCTTGTCCGATTACCACAGTCCCTAACAAAGAGTCCCTCCTCAGCATCCTCATAGGCCCCCTTCAGATACTGGAAGGTTGCTATGAGGTCTTCACACAGCCTTCTCCAGGCTGAACAGCACCAACTTTCTCAGCCGATCTTCATATGGGAGGTGCTACAGTCCCCTGATTATCCTTGTGGCCCTCTGAATTTGTTCCAAGAGTTCCATGTCCTTTTTATGTTGAGGACACCCGAACTGCATACAATACTCCAGGTGAGGAGCATCAGCCCAACACACCTCATGATGTTTAACCATGCCAAGTGCAAGGTCCTACACCTGGGTCAGAGCAATCTCAGGCACAGCTACAGGCTGGGCAGAGAAGAGATTCACAGCAGCCCTGCGGAGAAGGACTTGGGGGTGCTGGTCGATGAGAAAATGAACGAGAGCCAGCAGTATGCGCTTGCAGCCCAGAAAGCCAATCGTATCCTGGGCTGCATCAAAAGGAGCGTGACCAGCAGGTCGAAGGAGGTGATCATGCCCCTTTATTCTGCTCTCGTGAGACCTCGCTTGGAGTATTGTGTACAGTTCTGGTGTTCTCAACATAAAAAGGATATGGATCTGTTGGAACAAGTCCAGAGGAGGGCCACGAGAATGATCAGGGGACTGGAGCACCTCCCATATGAAGATCGGCTGAGAATGTTGGGGCTGTTCAGCCTGGAGAAGAGAAGGCTGCGTGGAGACCTCATAGCAGCCTTCCAGTATCTGAAGGGGGCATATAGGGATGCTGGGGGTGGACTCTTCATTAGGGACTGTAGTGGTAGGCCAGCAGCTTAGCAACTTCTTTACCCAGCTCCTTCAGGACCTGCAGATGGATTTCATCAGGACCCATGGGCTTGTGCATATTCAGATTTTTAATATGGTCTCGAAGCAGTTCCTCTCCTACGGTGAGCCCAAGGTCTTCATTCTCACAGTCCCTGTGTCTGCCTTTCAAGACTTGGGTGGTCCGGTCAGAGCCTTTGCCAGTAAAGACTGAGACAAAGAAGTCATTCAGAACCTCAGCCTTCTCCAAATCCTGGGTAGCTAGTTCTTCCGAGAGCTTCCTGAGGGGGCCTACGTTCTCCCTAATCTGTTTTTTATTTGCTATTTACCTGTAGAATCCCTTCCTGTTACCCTTAAATTCCCTAGCCAAGTTTAATTCTAACTGGGCCTTAGCTTTCCTAACCTGGTCCCTAGCTTCCCAGACAACATCCCTGTACTCCTCCCAGACAGCCTCTCCTTGCTTCCACTTTTTATAAGACTCTTTTTTCATTTGAATTTTTCTCAGCAGCTCCTTATCCATCCAAGGAGGTCTCCTGGCCCTCCTGCTGCACTTCCTTCTAGTTGAGATGCAACACTCCTGAGCTTGTAGCAGGTGATCCTTGAAGATCAGCCAAGAGTCTTGGGCCCCCCTGCCCTCTGGGGCTATATCCCATGAAACCTTACTAAGTATATTCCTGAAGAGGCCAAAGTCTGTTCTTTTGAAGACCAGGGTAGTGAGCTTGCTGCACGCTCTTCTCACTGTCCTGAGGATCTCGAATTCGACCATCTCGTGATTGCTGCATCCAAGGCTGCCCTGGAACGTCACATTTCCAATGAGCCTTTCTCTGTTGGTGAGCACAAGGTCAAGCATGGCACCTCTCCTTGTTGGCTCCTCTATTACTTGCAGAAGGAAGTTGTCTTCCACACAATCAAGGAACTTCCTGGATTGCTTGTGCCGGGCCGTACCATCATTCCAACAGATGTCAGGGTGGTTGAAGTCCCCCATGAGAAGAAGTCCCTGCAAGTGTGAGGCTGTTCCTATCTGTCTGTAGAGTGCTTCATCCACAGATTGCTATTGGTCAGGCGGTCTGTAGCAAATCCCCTCAGTAATGTCTCCCATAGCTATTTTCCCTTTACCCCTAACCCACAAACTCTCTTTTAACTGCTCACCTGTCCCCAGACAGAGTTCCATACTCTCCAGCCTATCCCTAACATAAAGGGCAACTCCCCCTCCCCACGTGCCGGGCCTGTCTTTTCTAAAGAGCCTCTAACCTTCCATTCCAACACTCCAGTCATAGGAGCCATCCCACCATGTTTCTGCGATGCCTATAATATCATACCACCGTAGACGTGCACACATCTCTAATTCCTCTTGTTTTGTTCCCCATGCTACGGGCATTTGTATAGAGGCATCTGAGCTGAGCTCCAAATGAAGCCGGCTCATTGGCTGGAGCGGCTGGAATATATCTGCATTGCTCCGAGCATTTATTATAGGTGCTGGCAACTGACTGGGAGTGTTGGGATGGAATGATGCCCCCCTCCCCCAACACATCTAGTTTAAAGCCTCCTTCACCAGTCTGGCAAGCGTCCTACCAAAACTGCCCTTCCCCTTCTTTGACCAGCTCCACCAGCCCCCGCTAGACCTGGCCTACAAACTTTGGTCCCGTGTTCAAGACACCCAAACCCCTGACTATGACACCACCCTTTTAACCATTTATTAATCTGGCTAATCCTCCTAGCTTTTTTTAGGTCCTCCCCTGTATCCTGGAGAATAGACGAAAAGACTATCTGAGCTCCAGAGCACCTAACCACCTCTCCCAGGGCTCTGTAGTCCTTCTTTATGTTCCTCAGGCTACTACTATCTATATCCCTAGCACCCACATGTATCACCAGAAGTGGGTAATAGTCCGTGGGGCTTACCAGAGCAGGCAGCCTCTCTGCCACATCCCTGATCCATGCCCCTGGTAGACAACACACCTTCCTTGAAACCGGGTCAGGCCGACAGATGAGTGGTTCTGTCCCTTTCAAAGTAGATTCCCCTACTACTACAACCCACCGCTTTTCCCTGGCAGCACCAGTAGAGGTCTTCTTTAACAGTGCATCAGTCAGCTGTTTCTGGTGCGAGTGTGTTTTCTCATTAGCCCCCTGCAGGACAGCAAAGCGGTTCTGCTTGGGGACAACAGATTTAGGAAGCCCCTTGCTTTTAATTGACCTTGACACACTTGTGATATGGGCCAGTGCCAACCTGTCATGGTTTAAGCCCAAGCCGTAAATCCAAACCAAGCAGTCTACCCCCCCACCCCCCCTGCCCTTTCTTCCACAACCCCCCCACTCCTGGAGGGATAGGGAGGAGACTCAAAAGAATGTAACTCCCACAGGTTGAGATAAAAACAGCCCAGTAACTAAGGT